ATGAACTTTTTTGGCTTGAAGATAATATACATACTCCTACCTATGATCATATTTGAACGATTCTTTGAAAAGTTCTGGCTAAATTGAGCTGTTAGCGCAGTTTTGAAACTTTGCCACGAAGGGTGTAACAGGCTTATAATTTATTCTCTAACTATCGAAAAAGTCCAGATTGAGATCTACAACAACTATCTACAGCACCTCTTCAAACTCTTTGTGATCATATTAAAAGCAAACGCACAATAGTATAGCTACGATTGTGCAACTTAATCAGCCAAAAAACAAATAGATGTAAAATTGCGAACTGTCAAACAATTTATTTGCCTTTGACCATTTCGGTTGCACAATGATTAAAGTCATACGTAGCCTTAGTTTGCCTATGGTAACTTTTTTTTACAAAGCTTATGATATCAAGCAATCACGATAATTGGGCTCAGCCTACAAAACAACCCCAACAGAGAAGTTTCTGGTACTAGGATTATTTCCAGTCCCGTTTCAGTAAGTAAGCGCTAAAGTCACGTGCAATTTTTCGTAATTTGTCGTAGCGGAAAGAGGCGTTAGATAAAAGATAATTTTGTGAAACGAAATTCAATCTAAAAATAGCACTTCATAGTAACCATAGAGGCTTAAGAAAGAATTGGAGATAAAAGAACTGTTCAAGATCAATATTGAGCATAATTGCTTGAGATGAACCGTAAATTTTCTTAGATTTGTGTTACTGTAAAGCTGTGATAAGTGAATTGCTGAGGTCTTTCAGAATAATATGTTAAAAAGGGGCTTGAATATATTATTTGACACCCCTACTATGATTCGGTTTTGCACTGCGGCACTTTCTGATGAAAAAAAGTAGAATTCGCCAAATGGAGCAGCAGCTGCAGGGAAAAATAAGCTCTAACTGAACATGGATCTAGAGAATTCCACCATGCATGCAATATAGCACTGAGGAATACTGAACTGGAATTCTAAAAAATAATTTGCATTGAACCAACACTATATAATTAGTAGCTAATAGAGACATCTGGCTGATTAATATTTAAAATATGATTGAACTTCAAAAAAAAAGCATCATTCAAAGACCAAGCTTACATCGACTTTTGGAAATAACAGTCACGCAAAACGGATATTCTAAGTTCACATCCTAGCTTTGGATATGACAACTACGTCTTGCATCGTTTCGCGCAAATTGAAGTTTGAAATTGAGCTCTTCTTTGAGCTTTGCAGTGACTTGCCAAAGTCTCTTATTTTTTTTTCAAGATTTCAAAAGGGAGGTAGTTTTGGAGCAAAGCTTTACTTACCTTATTTGAAAACAAATCCACAAGAAGAATCGGTCTCTGATAGTTCATGCTGCGGACCAAGAATTGAGAGATAATTCAGTAATAAACTTCTTCTCTATTTTGCCATCGTAAGAAGTCAGACTAGTCCAAGCTTGGTTTGCTGAGAATGTCCGAAGGCGGAAGAAGTGAAGAACTGATTGAAAAGAAAACTGTAAAGAAAGAGAAGGAAGGGCGAACGCGAAAGACTACCTCACCACATAATATGAGGCTAGCTTCTGATCGCTAATTTAAGGCTGATATCATTATCTGCTCTTACTGGCTGAGAAAAACAAAGAAGAAGCAAGGCGTCTGATCAACGAAAATGCTCAGATGAGCATTTTGATTGCATTTGCACCACCCCGATTGCTAGCACCTATGATCTCATTAGTCCACTTACTTTTAGCAAAGTTTGTTCTACAAGAGCATTTTAGTCGTTCATCCAAGCAAATGAGTTGATCAGACGATTACCTTGCTACTCTTTTGTTTCTTTCAGCCAGTAGGAGCTTCAAATGATTACACTAGCAATCAAACGTCAACCTTTTCTGGTGAAATAGTCCTCCGCGTTTGCCCCTCATCTTCTTCTTTTCAGTTTTCTTTTCAATCAGTTCTTCACTTCCTTCATCTTTCCAACATTCTCAGCGACCAAACGATTCATCCCTTGTACTGATGTACAATGGCAAGTGTTTTTTGTGTCTTATAACCAAAGGATTTCTCTAATTTAGGAGTAAGCTTTTGCGCTGCCGATTTGGAGCTAGTCTTAGGATAACAAAATAGCAAGACGAAAGTTCCTCTTTGGGTTGTCTCTTAATTCTCATTCAGCAACTGTAAGATTCCGCATCCCTCTGTGCAGTAGTCCTTCTAAAATTCAAGTTGGGTAAGGCTTTTCTCCGGAAAAAAATTTCTTATGATCTTAAAGATGGGAGACATTAGCAGGCCGCAACAAAATCAGGAGTATTTGTGCGAAAACTTTATTGCACAACACTATGCACAAATTTGAATGGTTCTGCGCTAAGTTGTGAACTAAAGATAACATCTGTAGGTGTCATCTCCTTTACATACGACAGTAGATGCAATTTTTGAGGTTTAAACATGTTCTAGAACTCTGTCTATATTGGGCACTACATTTTGGTGAATGTCGGCAAAGGGTGAAATGGGTTCATTCCATCTGGTGCTCGAAGTCGGTGTTACTTTTTTCCGATTCTTGAGTTTAATTTCGTCTATGAGTGCTTGAGCATAGCACTGCATATTTAAAAGGTCACTTCTCAACACATTGGTGAAGTTCCGTTCTTTGATTACGATGATGAAAAAGCGAGGAGAACTC